CTGATGACAACATACAAATTCATTCATCAGTAATCTGTCAAGATGACAGGTCCACAGTCTCTTCTAAAACAGTTCCTCCATTTGATGCGATCTAGAGCTTTCTCCTTCAAATGAAAATATCCTCTTCTGTCCCCAAGGTCATCCAGCATCTTCTTACGTCTTTTTCCTCATCTTCTGGTCACTTCTATCCGCCCCTCTATCTTTCCTTCAATAACTTCTTTTAGAAGGCAGTTACCGCGTAAGATATGACCAATCCAATTAGCCTTCCGTTTTCTTATTTTGTGTAGGATATTCCTCTGCTCACTGACTCTAAATAACACTTCTTCATTTCTCACATAATCGGTCCAACTGATCTTCTTCCTTCTCCAATACCACATTTCGAAGCTTTCCAGGTGTTTCTTATCTACTGCCCTAAGTGTCCAAGTTTCAGCCCCATACAAAGCAATGCTCCAAATGCAGCATTTCACTAGTTTCTTTCTCAAATTTAAGTCCAATTTGCTGGTAAAAAGATTCTTCTTCTTGCTAAATGCAGCTTTTGCCATGGCAATCCTAGATTTAATTTCACAAGTACACCTTCCATCATCTGTTAACACACAAATATCTGAAAATAATGTTCCCCAATTTTAGTTTCTACCCCATTCAATGTTCAATTTAAATGATCACAAGTCAATAATCACAGAGGCAAATTTCCTTCATTCTGGTCTAGTGTTCAAATACAGTGTCCCCAACAGAAACATCGAATGTGGGTTTCATTGTCTTCTCTGTGTCATTTCATTAATCACTGCAGAAGATGGAGCAAATCTTCTTCATGTATCTGAGCACAATATACTGTACCAGCGATCAAAATGAAAAATGAAAACTCATCACAGCATGAAAAATAAAGACAATATGTGTAAGCTTTTCAATAATATATAACACATGTCAATGACGTTAGTGACGAAAAAAATTACAACAGATAATTATGAGAGAAACACAGGATCTGATTTGTTACATCTGATCTGTTAACACACATCTTTCTTTACAGTGGCAATCTCTCTTACCAACCACAGCTCTCCTTTTGTGTCAAAAATTCTATTACTTCTATCTGTAGAATTACATAGAACATGTGGTCCGGGCTGCAGGTGGTGCAGTCGCATGAAAGGGCAAAGTCTGGCACATTTACCTTACAAGCAAATCACAAAATGAGGGCTCTTCAAAAAGCTTCCACACTTTTTATTTTACAATTCTATTTTATCCATGATTACAAAAATAATATATCTATGAAATCACCCTGATTTTCAACACATTTTTCCCAGCATCCTACCAACTTCTTAATGCCATCACAACAGAAAGTCTCTGGCTGCATACATATCACTGTTTTCTATACATCATAATTTTTAAATCTTCTCCCTCCTAGAGCTTCTTCAAGCTGTGAAAAAGGTGAAAAAATCAGATGGTGCCAAAGCTGGACTGTGAGTTGTATGTTCCATGACTTCACACTTCAACTTCCTAAGGGTTTCCAACATGCGGGCTGCAGTATGGTGACAGGCATTGTCGTGCAACAACAGGTGGCCCTATTACAGTCTCCCTCTTCTTCTAGAGCAGATTGCAGGCTTCAGCCCTCCATGAAGCATGTCACAATGGGTTGCACTTGTGACAGTAGTTCCACACTCCAGGCAGGTCTCAAGGATAGGCCCATGAGAATCCCAGAAGATGGTCCATCATCACCTTGCCTGCTACCGGTTGCATCTTGAATTTCTTTGCAACAAGAAATGATGGCTGCTTCTACTGCATGCTTTTCTGATTGGTTTCTGGTTGATACTGATGAACCCTGGTTCCATCGCCTGTGACGATCTGTTGCAGAAAATTTTCACCCTCACAAGCCAAGTGGCAGGAACAAATGTCCAAGCACATGCGCTTATGCTCATTCGTCAGTTCCCTAGGTACCCACCTGGTACACTTTATGGAACTGAAGGTTATCATACACCACAGAACAGAAGACCCAATGCTGATATTCAGTTGTTATGCAACTTTGTTGACAGTCACTCTTCTGTTTTGAAGAATCAGTTCCCTAGCTCTTTCTTCATTCTGTGCAGTTGTGGCTATGGGTGGATGACCCAAGCACTCTGCACTGGTCACACTCATATAGCCATTTTCAAACATTTCAATTCACTCATGACCAACTCAACAAGAAACAGCACTGTCCCCATACTGAGCACACATGAACTTATAAATCTCTCCACCTGGTACACCTTCTGCCACAGAAAAATGTATAACAGATTGTTGCTCTTCCTTGGTGCAGTTCTCAAGTTTCACTGCTATGTTCACTGCTCCGTAGCAACTCTTGCAATAACTGCAACATCAAGAGGCTTGCCTTGCCCACTAGTCATATGATACCCTACCTCTCCCATTCTTTCCATTTTCTTCGAAAATATAAAAGTGTAGAAACTTTCTGAAGATACCTTGTATGCTGATTGCATTCATGATGTTATCAAGAAACCACTTCCAGCTTATCCTGAAGTTTTCATATTTAGCTGACAACAGAAACCTTGCCAACCCTGAAGACCAAAGATATGACCTATAACCTGAGACATTCCAAAAGAGTTATTCAATATAATTATGGTTCTCACCAGCAGCTGTGTTGATGAGAATTTGGTTGAAAGAATCCGTTACTCCAGCCTATGGACCAGCAGGTTATTTCTAACTTTAAGAAGCTGTACACTAAAGCATTCTTTGAGTGTTGTTTTGAGGTGACTGAAGGGACCAATTTCACTCTCAGAGCATTTTGGAAATATCACTTCCACATTGTTGCCTGCCTCAAGATGATCGAAAAGGCATGGGAAGGGCTCACCAAGAGAACACTCACTTCTGCTTGGAAGAAGCTTTGGCCGGAGAATGTTGTCAAATGTGACTTTGAGGGGTTTGAGATAGTACCTGTGGAGCCTGTAGTCAACAAGATTGTGTCTTTGGCCAAGATCATGGGGCTGGAGGTGGATTACAATGATATCGATGAGCTTGTGGAAGAGCACAGCCAAGAGCTGTCCACCGAAGAGCTTATGAAGTTTCATTGTGTTTCACATCAAGAAGTTGTGGAGGAGAGTTTGTCAGAGGAGGAGGAGGAGGTAACAGCAAAGCAACAATCTTCTGGCGCAATATGAGAAATGCTGAAAGCATGGGAAACTGTTGCATCATACATGGAGAACCATCACCCTAATAAGGCAGTGGCTATGCGCACTACAAATTTATTTAATGATAATGCTGTGTCGCATTTTCACCAAATTTTGAAGCGTCAGCAAAAACAAATGTCTCTAGACAGCTTTCTAGTAAAAAAGAATTAGATATGTATCATAGATAATAAACTAATTATTTCGATTTTTTTTGTTTTCTTCAAATCAAATTTGCAATCCAGGTTGGTTCATTCCGCATAGAAGAAAAGATGAAGATGATTCACGCTACTTAACAAGGTATATATAATTTTCTTTGAATAAACGTTATACATAAAATTTTTTTTAGTATTTTTTCGGCATGGAACACATTCATATTTCACATTAATTTATATGGCAAAAATTGTTTCGCTTAATGAGTGTTTCGCATTACGAGTAAGATTCTGGAACGAATTATGCTAGTTAAGCGAGGTTCCACTGTATATGCAAGTAATGCAGTATTTATCCAACAAATATCAACCCCATTGGGGAATCAAGTTTTAGATGCTTTGTGGTTGTCACATGACTGGTTAGGATCTTTCATGTACCATGCAGCAAAGAGCATGTATGACTGAAATATTTCAGTCAGTTTAGCTCACACAGCTGTAACAAAGTTACTGAAGGTAAGAGATTACCTCATCTGAAGTTGTCACCTTTTCATTGATAATTTTTTCACAACAGTCTCTTTCACATCTGATCTATACAAACTTTGCATGCTCATAATGGTAACCATTCATTGAAATAGAGAACTTTTACCACTGACCTTTTGAAACAAGTATGAAGTTGGTGAAAAAAGCAGTTTAGAAAAGGAGAAATTCTTATACTTGCTTTCTGGGTAAAGAACTCTCACAATTTTCCTTTAATACCCTCTATTCACAACAAAGCAGAAGATTCTTAAAGAACTCATATCCACCATGGCCAAAGTATGTGACAAAACCCACCTCAATTCAAAACTACAATGACTTTACGGTGCATGACACATCATACATGACGCTATGAACCTACTTTGACAAATGAATAAAGTAAAGTACTGGTGGTTGGGGGAAGAAGTGTTTCAGCATCTAAATAAAATTTTAATGGACACAAAATTTTACAAACAGGCAGTACTTAATTCAGAGGAAAGTGTTACATCACTGTAAACAGACTTGAGCAAATGTAAGACACTTCAGAAGTTGACAATTCAGCAAGTATACATGTAATAAGCGACATCAGTGGGAGGAAGGGTGAAATGTTTTCATGACTAAATAGGTGGCACTGTTAAATTATGTTGAGAAATGTCTCAAAAATCAGAAGTCATACTTAGAACTGAATAAACTATTAACAAAATTGCAAGAGGATTTCATATTAAGTAAGTTCAGTATGTGGAATTTGACAATGGAGTTCAAATTTTATGACTTTTAAATCCTCCAAGAAAACATATTTTTTTGTGTGTGTGCAGAAAGTGCAGTCTCTCCCACCCTCTCTATTGTGTGTTCTATAAGGCTTTGTAAAGAGCTGTAAACACCACCACATATGAGGTAAGCAAAGATTTTTTTCTCAAGGCTTGCAATTTCAGTAGAAATGGTATCACACTTCAGCATATGCTGCTGTTAGAGAACAGCATAAAAAGAGTGGCCCAACTGAAGGAACAGACTTGTGACACTAAAAATCACCATCTGTAAATGCTAAAACACTAACTTTGAACAGAATCATTTCATGTCATCAACCTGAAAACTATATAATGGAATGGAAAGAAAAAATACCAAAGGAATGAAAATTAACACAGAACAAGCAAGACTGTTATAAACTCCTGCTCTGGAACCCTGACTGTTGACTGACCTGCGGACGGGGCTTGACATGGCAAGAGGAGTCGGCACTCCAATGGCTTTTATCCGCTGCTGCATTGTGGGACTTGGCCCAGGCCCTCTCGGGGCTGGTGAAGGGACTTGTTGTTGCTGTCGATCAGGTGATAATGGATCAGGAGTGTGGCTTCGAGACTGAGAAACATCCATACCCCTGTCCAAATACATAACAATCATTAAAAGGTAAAGTCACATTCCTTTTCCTTCTTACTATCTTCCTTACTATCATCTAATAGAATTTATGTGTTTTTCTGTATGGTATTTATGTTCTTGTCAATCAGAGTGGCTGCACGGTCTAATGCATGACCTGACCTCACTTGCTCAAACTCTGGGATTGTGGGTTCAAACCCCACTCAAGGCATGGACATTTGTCTTGTTTTTATTGTGTTTGTGCATGTAGCAGCCTTGTGTCTGGCTGTCCCCCATGCAAAGAGTCCTATCGACTACCTTAGGATTAAGAAACTGAAATGATGGATGCCCTATGCTCCAAAGTGGGAGCACAGAAACTGAACATCATCCGCTAAGGCCAGGAGGTGACGCATCCCAATCTCAATCTCATTCCCTCCTGTTTTTTTTTCTAATGTTGTATTTCTGGAGCCAAGTCAAAAGTCAATGGTATCAAAGCATCTCTATGTTCCAGACAATACTGAATATGAACTACATCAGACAAAAGTTTACCTATACAGAGTTTCCTATTGTCATCATGGCTGAAAAGCTGGAATAGTGGAATGTGTAGGTGCAGGCACTGCTAGGCAGTGGATGCTAACACATGTGTGTGGCAAAAGATATGCATGCAACAGAAGAACTTCTGGAAGCAGTGTTTTCTTTGTGGTCTGTGCCATGGCTACATAACAACCAGTCAAGAGCACAAGTTAGTTGTGAGATATCTGCCAGCTGTTAAGGACCTGAGCATGAAAGCAAAAGAATACCCATTGTTGGGAGCCACTACCCAGCAAGATTAAGAGAAGGGTGTAACAGACTGAGACTTAGTGGATACTGCAGTTATTTGTAAAGTGTGTAGATTAGTGACAACATTATAATGACTTGTAGTTATGAGTTATAAGCCTTCAATAAATCCAACTATCAATGCAAACCTCATGTCTAGTCAGTAATAAGTTACACTATCTATTGATACACATTAAGACAGCCACTATCAAGTGTAACAAACTGCATAAACAGAATCTATTCTAGTACCTTCACAAAATATAAAATTTCAGACTCAAGGGATTTAGCAAAGGTAAAATTACATGTACATCAGGAATTTGTGACTATAGACCTAACTGCAATGACTGTGCAAGTTTTTATTTGGATACTCTCCACTGCTTGAATTAAAAGTACATATGCTTCATAATCAATCTCTGTCTGTCTTCAAGCAGAACAAAAGGATACCCACCTATGGAACCAGATGGATAAAGTTATTTCATATCACCAGCAATGAACAGTGAAGCATGTGAAAAGCTGCATCTAACAGAAGTAATGGTATGTACCTCAGTGGGCAACAGCAGCACGAAATACTATGTAGACCACAGAACATGGTTTGTCATACGATAATGTAAACATGTGAAAGAAAAATATATTTACCAGGAAAAAAGATCAAGCAAAAAGGGAATGTGAAAAACATAGTCATATATATATATATATATATACACACTTTATCCAGACAATGGACAATATCCAAAAACATTCTCCCACACTAACATAAGACCAGAAGTATGTTACATCAATTAAGGGATTTTACTTCAGACAGGAACGCTATATCAAATGTGAATGCTGTTCTGGGATATGTGGCCATAAGAGAGCATTATTTAAACTACCTTGGCCTTGGATGTGGACTGCCACGAGAAAATGGACCTCGTATCTGTTGCTGCTGTTGAGGGTGGCCTGCTTTGCGAGGGGAGTCACCCCCTTCTACAGGAGGCAGGAAGAAGTTGCTCTTGGATCCATGGCGTTGAAGTGGGGGAGTAGGCTCACAATCTTGGGACTGTGATGCTGTAGGTTCCATATCTGTATCAGAACCCTCCCCTCGACCAGGTGAAAGCTGAGAACAAAAAGACATATGCTATTATAATTAAATGACATCTGTTGAAATAATAAACAAGGAGTTCTGGGAAGATCTAGCCACCTATTTTTCTTAGACATGGCACAGATTGCATAGAAAATGGCACATTCAACAATTCTCCTACTGTTACATGTGTATTCATTGCCGTAGTAATGATTTTACTGAGCTGCTGCCTAGCAACAATAGAGGAATACACACACAAACACATTTATGTAGTATACTGTTGAGATGGGCTCAAGTACCATGATATACATACCAAGTTTCATAAAGATTGGTTCAGGCACTGAAAAGTTGATAGCGGGGATTCACAGACACACAGAGAGCACCGTGATCTCAATAAACCTACTTTATTTTTTTTTCAAAATAGGGAAAGTAGGACTCCTGCAATGAATTCTATACTGCCATACATATCTACCAAACTTAAATGAAAGTTATTTTATCGGGCTGATCATGCTGAAACTTTAGAATAGCCATATTAAATAGAGAAAAAATTATGTAAAGTAAAAAATGTAAAGGTATCCCTGTACCAGGCCATGAAGGCCCATAGGGTTGTGAGACGTTGAGGGTCCCACATTATCTAGACAATCGGCCCAAAGATGGTGGTAAGGTTGTCAGCCTTACGTGCCGGCTGCGCTTTCCTCTCCAGGAAAATTATTTAATTAATTCCTGGTACTCAATTCTGTTAGAGGCTGAGTAAACTCCAGGGCCTAGTGCGGCTGGAAGGATTAGGTCAACTGAAAAAAATCCATACATTATGCTTCTAATTACACATCTGTGGCATATCCATGCACCGGATTTCACCTTAGTTTTCACTACTTAAATTTACTGCACAGGTTGTCATTATACACATTTACTAATGAACCAACTATCCATTTACCATCTGATCCATCCATTTGATGGCATCCTTCACACTGTGGGGGTGGGGGGTAAAGACAGAACATAATTCTCTCCCTTTGGCACTACTCTGTGCTATGATTCTATTCATGACAAAAATTATGATCTCAGTAATAGTGTAGATAAGAGTTCATGATGCAATATACATAAGCAAATAATATTTTGGGTGTTTCTGTTTTCAAATTATTTATGCTTTACTCTCCCCTCCATCAGACCAGCCAATCAACACACCATATTAGAAATGTATCAATTAGAAATCAAGGAACTATTATAACATGAAGAGTCCCTGTAGCACATTACAGTGCATTCTCCTGTCTTTCCCTTGAGGCCCTATACAAAATGCATTCTTATGCATATGAGGTTTCTATGATTTAAGTTATTGCTGGAAATGTGTAGGATTTGTCACATCAACTGATTTTTTACAGAGATTATGGACTCTTCATAGTTCCAGTATTTTTCATCTGAATGCCATGTAAGAACACAAATACTGGTATTAAAACTGAAGGCATGTTATAAACTTTCCTTGTCTGTATCAGTGTAAGTTCTACTGCTACCAGGTGAATACCCAATTGCAGTAAAATAATAATAATAATTATGTCAAGAAAAAGGCCTGCAGTACAACTGCCCATGCTTATGTAAAAGGAAACTAAGAATTAGTTGTCAACAGGATATTTTACCTGGCAGCAAGACTTTCTGTTTAATAATCATGTGGTAAGAGGAAATGACAGAATTTTCAGGGTCAATTTAAATCGTTTTCTTTTATTATGGGAAAAATTCTTTATTGGAAGAGGTAAACTGTTAAACACCTTAATCCACAGTATATGTTCCCTTCTGATAAAGTGATAAATGAGCTGGTGGATGATGCAAATCAGATTTGGTCCTGGGATTAATATTATGTATCTCAGAATTTACTTTAAAATTATGTTTATTACTGATAACAAACAATGAGAAGTGAATGTAAGATTTGAGGTTTTCACAGTGGTGACTATGGAGAATGCCATCTTCTGGGATGTGGTGTGTAAAGAGCTTGTGTAAAACAACTTTTCAGAGGAACACATTGCCTATCTTCAGGGTAGAAAAATCTGTGAGCAAGCTGCAGCCACTTGCTCATGCTGGTTCCTCACTCGCAGATTTTTATACCATGAAGATGGAGGCGATACGTTCCTCCGAAACATCGGTTCACACAAGAGCTACAGGATGCCACATCCCAGAAGACAACATTCTTCAATGAAAGTGAATATGCACACTGAGACTGTAGTAGTAATATTTTTAATTCTCTAAAATATTCTCTACTTGACTCTCTATCTAATAATATAATCATAATTCTTATAATTCTTTTCTGTGGTCTAAAATTATATTGCTATAATAAGAATTGATCCACCTGAAAACAGGAATAATATACCATCTTCATTGATTCTTGGGACAAGAAAGGCTTAAATGTTCTAATCGAGAAGCAAGATGAATTTACTTTTGGGTACAACTGTACCTATGTGAGTCTTCCAAGAAAATGAGTTGTCCAATGTTAGTCCCAGAAATTTTGTATTACAAATATTAAGTATTTTCATGTTCCCATGCGTTATGTTTAAACTGATTAAAGTAGTAGTCTTGTAATGTAATGTAATGTATGTGAGGGATGGGCCATAAAAACTAGCCCCTGCACTGCCACCTTCAATGATCTATTGTGCTTCCCTTGGATTAGCCCTTTATTAATCCTACACTTTTAAAAAAGTGTAGGACCCAAGGAGTAGTCTGTTATAAAATGCATAAATTGTGTCTCGTGAACATTTAGTGACAGTAAATAAGTAGTGAACCATTTATCTTGAAAAACTTTATTAACACTACTTTTAAAATTTACAGGGTTAAAGCTAGTAACACCGGTCACGGTAGCCAAGTGGTCTAAGGCATGTACTGTCTTCGCTCGCTTGGAAACCGGGATCGTGGGTTCGAATCCCACTCAGGGCATGGATGTTTAGTTTGTGTGTGTGTGCGTTTTTCTGTGTTTGTGTACAGGTAGAGGCCTTGCGATGAGCTGATCACCCGCCCAAGGAGTCCTACCGAATGTGTAAGATCGAGAAACACCGAAGTGAAGGGAGAAGTTCATGGAGGTAGGCCTAGGCCCACTGGGGCTGTAGTGCCAAGGGAAGGAAAAAAAAAAAAGCTAGTAATGATTATACTAGTGTCATCCGCAAACAGAACGATTTCAGCATCATGATTTATTGTTTTTGGTAAGACATTAAAGTAAAAAAAAGCAATGGACCAAGTAGTAATCCCTGTGGGACACCATGCTTTATCTATCCCCAATTTGAAGAAGAGTCAGGAGAATTTTATTTAAGATAAACCTTAGGTATCTAACCTCTAGGTAAGATTTAATTAGTTTAAGAGTTGTTCCTGTTATTCCATAAAACTCCAATTATGTAATAAAATACTGTGATTAAAATAATCAAAAGCTTTCTGTAAGTCACAAAAAATGCATTCAACCATCATTCTGTTATTCAATTTGTTTAGTATCTCCTCAATCAATCTACAGGAAGCCTATCTGTTGATGCAGAAGGTCTGTAACAAAACTGTGTTTCTACTCAAATGTTAATTTTAATATGCTGCAAAGGTCTTTCATATATGATTTTTGAAAAGACCTTAGAAAATGAAGTTAATAAAGAGATAGGTCTGTCATGTTTTTCTTATCACCCTTCTTGAATAATGACTCTACATCAAAATATTTTAAATGAGTAGGAAATGTTCCAGGTATTTATTCATCAGGTCAACAGGAGTAATGCAACCTAGTCACATGGGTGGCACCAGTCCACAGATCAGAACCTCAAACTGCAGGAACTCAACAGTTTAGTGAAGGGCTGTAAAAGGTGGCATCTGGTCTGGCACAAGGACAAATTTACCTCCCTCTCTTCAACCCTGAAACCTCTGAAATGTCAGCAACACCTCCAACAACCATGTGGTGCAACAACCCAAGAGAAGAATTAACATCAATAATCAACCACTGTGAAAGGCTAAAATCAGAAAATTATGTTATAAGAAGCTTTCTGTGAGGATACAAAAAGGGTGAACATAATGGAACTGAAGGATGCCGTCTTCTGGGATGTGGTGCCATGTAGATATTATATAAAGTGACATTTCAGAGGAATGTATCGCCTCCATCTTCAGGGAAGAAAAAAGAAAAAATCTGCAAGTGAGGAACCAGCGTGAGCAGGTGGCTGCAGACTAAGTGACCAGTTGAAAACACCCAGCTATACGATGGGGTACCCAAAAGAAACCGAACTAATTTTTTTGTGGGCAGAGATTTTGTAGTACCGCGTTTTGCCGCTATGAGCGCATAGAGCTAACATTCCTGAGTCGATAAGCCGACTACCGTTGCTTCAGAAGGTAAGGACTAGTTTCGGCAGAGTTTATAGTGACAACTGTTTTGTGTGATCGTCGTTTTTGCAATGGCTGATTTTCGTGAACAGCGTGCGGCGGTGAAATTCTGCTTTTTGCTCAGGAAAAGTGGAACAGAAACTCTTGAAATGTTAAACGGCGTACATGGACGATGCTATGGGGAAAAATCAAGTGTTTGACTGGTTTTCCCGTTTCAAAAATGGTGAAATGTCAATTGATGACAAACCTTGTTCTGGTCGTCCTTCCACGGCCCGAACACATGAAAATGTTGAAAAAATTCGTGAAATCATCAAGGAACATCGACGACGGACCATTGAAGAAATTGTGGAGCTATCGGGAGTGACTTGGAGCTCAGCGGCCAGATTTGTGGCAGTTGGGTGACTGGTTTTTCCATCATGACAATGCCCCTGCTCACACAGCCCTGTCTGTACGACAATTCTTGACCAAAAATGGTATGACCCCTGTTCCTCACCCTCCATACTCACCCGACCTTGCCCTGTGTGACTTTTTTTTTTGTTTCCTCGAATGAAAAGAAACATGAAAGGAAAAAACGACAGAGGCGCTGTCAAGCATCTCAAAAGATGAATTTAGACAATGTTTTGAAAAATGGAATAAAAGACTAGACAAGTGTATTAGTGTAAGTGGAGAGTACTTTGAAGGGGATTGAAGGTTTGTGCTTAAAATTTGAATAAATAAGT